GACAAATAACTCAAATATAAATATAGGTACAATTCTATGAGAAACCCACTCTGAATATCTTCTGAAAAATTCACCAAAAAAATATTTTTAATAAGTTTAAAATAGTTGAGTAAAAATTGTATTGTCCTTTATGTGTTGAACTCTGTGGAAATACTAGGTTCTTGATAACAAATTATGACAAGGAGATAGGATTAGAATAGATGTCTCATATTTTACTACTTTAAATTTTATTTTTGCTTTTTTTCCTTTACATTGTGTAAGTTTCCTGTATTGTTTTTCTTATGGTGTCAACCATTTCAATTCTGCTTCGTAATTTTGAAAACTTTCAGACTCTTAATAAACGACACTAGTGAGAGGAGTCAGAAAGATCAGAAAATGGAAAAATAAAATAAAAATAAACACAAAAGAACAAACATATGAACTAAAAGAGAACACAATGGTAGATCTTACCACTGGCTTTAAAGGATTATTGTGAATGGGTATTAAATTAAGTACCAATCGAATCACTACCCAGCATGGAAACTTGAACTTTGGGAAAATGAGAAACAGTAAGAAATCTGTCATGTTTTGTTTTAAGACAAGACAATTCTTGAAACTGTGATTTTCACAAAGTATTGTTTAAGATGCTTTAATTTCAGAGGTTTTCAGTAACTAACCCCTGTGAAAATTAATGATGAATCTTTGAAAGTCTGCCATTGTGGCTGGTTGTTTTATCTCAATCAGTTTCCTTTATGTATCCAGAAAATGTAAAATCTTGTTAAAAATAAAAGGCCTCTGAAGTCTTCCCATACTACTTGTAGACTTAAAGAATAGTATTTCTAATTCTAAACATTATCTGTCTCTCCCATGTGTTAACACATTACTCCAAGACTTCACCAAGAGCAGCCAATGCTGGTTGCTCCATATTGGACACATATGCGTGTAAGGAGAACCTTCATTTGGTGCAGGTGGGGAACAGGCCTCTGTGTGTCCCTAATCACGACCGTAACTGAATGGAAAGGACTTGGATGGGTTTCATTCAAGTTGTGTCTCCTTTGCCTGATGCTGTTTGGGTTGATAAAGTTGAAATAATGTGTATTATTTGTATGACTATGGATACAATCTTGGAAGTAGAATTGCTTGTGTACCTTATGCTGGAGTCAGTGTTTGTGGGATGGGGAGAGTGATACAGTTGGGGGGTTGAGTAATTGGGGGCTGTTCAAGGAAGAACATATGGAATAGCACACGCAACTTTTATTGGAGATGCTTTCCCAAGTTCTCAGTGAGGAGTCCCTCACAGCAGGGCTAAAGTGCTAGGGTTCCCACTCAAGGGGGAGGAGTCACTGGAAAAGGGGCTTATGTGTCTAGGCAACGTCACACAGCAGCGCAGTGGGGAGTCCTGGGTCAGACAGTTCCAAAGGGAAGTAGTTTTTGAGATTTTCATAAACTTAGCTCATCCATTGCTAGCTGCTGTGGAGGAGATTTCCTAGGATGTGCAAAGCAAGCATTTTTTCAATGGGTAAAAATCTGCATCTTTGGACTGCCTTGAAATATTTAAATGTGAAAAATTTGAGTTTGGTGCAGACCATTCAGAAATAAACCTGCTGTACAGAGGTAAACACGGGGACCAGTATGCACAGGACGACTTTGGCTTATTTGGGGCAATATTGCACATTGTGTAGACTGTTTTATTAACTGTATTCATCCAAATAGTCCTAACTTGCACTGCTTTGGGTGAAATTTGAGACACACAAAGGTCTGTTCCCACCTGGACACCAATGGATACTCATTCAGATTAAAGAGAAGAGCTGTCTGGGGGAGAGAATTGAGATCAAACTGCCTGCAGAGGAAGCTCTTCTAGTGGTAGGTTGTCTGGAGTGGATTCTTGAGCTCTGCAGCACCTGTAATTGAAGCCGACTGATTTTTCTGCAGCTTGTCACCTTCTAGAGGATAAATAATAAATAAATATTCTGGTTAAAAGGGACCTTTTTGAGTAACTGCAAAACTGTTTTTCAACGAAGCT